TAAGCAGGATGTAACCGCAGCCACAGATTGTCGGCCAACACGATTCGTAGATAACAAGGAACTTGATCGAGCCGACAGAACCCAGGAGCCTAAGGGATGAGGAGTAGCTTTATTCACCAGATATAGTACTCATATAACTGTTGTCAGTAACATATCCCTTGAAAGTGTAACGTGAGAATTAATTAGTTGACGCTCGAAATGCAAAAAACAAGAGCTGTTTATCCGTCTGGTCTACTTCGCTTCGAACTGTGAGGTGAATGAGGTTTTGCCAGACAGGTTTAACCCGAACTCCGAATCATCTTTGCTAGATCTCACATTACCACATTACTAGGATGATGTCACGAACCCTGATCATATGCCACCTCTAGGTATAAATGACCATGCAGTTCTAGTCTTTCATTTCTGTATGGTTGTCAACAACAGTGTATCACCTAAGACAAAAACTATCGTTCGGAAGACGAATATACAAAAATTTCTACACTCAACCCCTTCAGTAGATTGGACAATAAAGCTATAATCATCCACTGTAGTAGCTACAGATGAACTAAAAGTCTAATGAATCTAAAAATATCTTGAAAATTTTTATCCGTACATAAACCAAAGGACTGCGAGAAGAGGTAGCATCATAGCGTTATCGGAAGAAAGTTGTGCAACAACACCATTTTAAGGCGATGTAGCATTTTCTGACTTCAGCAAGGCTCTATCAAAGTTCCACATATTGAGCTGTTATCTACATTAAGTGGTACCAAGAATGGAGACAGTTTACTTGTGTGGATAAGGGATTTCCCATTTGGACATCAACAAAGAGTACTAGTTAACTTCAAGTTGTCTTGCTGGAAAACAGTGCTTAGCTCAATGACTCAGAGTACAGTTTCTGGGCTAGTGTTGCTTCTCTTGTTTGTAAATGAACTGCCTAGTTTTCTTTCATTAGCGGTTTTATTATAAGCTGATGATATAAAGATATAAAGACATAAAAAATGAGAGCGATAATTTAGAGCTTCAGAATGTCCTGGAGAAATTATCTGGCTGGTCTCAGATGTGGCAGTTGTCGATAAATGCTTCAAGCGCATTATGATGCATATTGTTCATCAACGTGCGGATATATACACGGTGAATATTATTGAGCTATCTATTGTTCAGACACGTAATGACTTGGGAGTCATCGTTATCCAAGACAAAAACTACTGCATATTGTTGTGCAATAGCCGCCAAGGGATTTCGATCCCTGTGGTTAATATGTGAGGCCTATATGCACGTCAATGCCGAAAGCTCTTTGACTTTGTATACGGTATTCGTGCGTCCTAAGCTCGAGTTCTACACACAAGCGGCTAGCCCTTGCCTAAAAATGGACTTTCCAGGAATAGCTAAACTCCCGTACGACGCTAGAGTGGCTAAACTAAGCTTATTTTCATTATTATATGGAATAACTAGAGGCGGCTTGATCACAGTTTTTTAATTACTGAGTGATAAATCTTCATTTGGTGTGCCCTCATTTTTCTAGTCCCCCAAAACAGAGAGCTAACGAGGACACTCTAAGAAAGTTTACGGGCCCAGAACAAATTACTTGTCACCTGACTATCAACTTTCCCATCTAATCATTATCGAAAGGAATTCACTTACTTAACATATGGCTGAAGCTCCATTTGTCAACGCTTTCTAAAGAAACTTGAATCGTCTGAGAGACTGCCGATACCAGGACTAACATGAGTCACCCAAACTCCTGTCCATCCCAAACCGTAACTGAAACTATCAAGTCTGGGTAAATTTTTACTGGGAGAATATTAGCATTATAATTTAGCCGCTAAACTTAGATAATATGAATATAAAATCTAACGCAAACTATTGCCTAAAATAGAGAATTACTGCATTTTACAATGAGATTCGTAATATTTTGGTCATTCTCTTTTATGCATTGTCTGCAGGTAGTGAAACTAGCCAAGAAAGACGGATATTCTAGACCCCGGCTAGTGGGAATGACCCTCTCGTCCTCTCATATAGCGGCTGCCAGTGACGAAGCATTTCATAACAACAGATGCCGGTTGCCAACTGGAATCCACATGCAGCCCGGGAGACCATATGATGCCAGGAACAAACAGAAAAGCAAATTGGAGCTGACTATCCTACTTGTGGACCATCAAGACCATGAGAAAACGTAGAGGGGACAGGGGATACCAACTCGGAGAAACCCTGTGAAGGCAGGTTACCTGTCCATTCACGCCAAGCCCATACAGATAAACTGGACGTGGAAGCTCACGCGTTTCGGGTTGAAAGAGTAAACGGTGGGATTATAATTTATGGACGACCTGTGAGAGACGTTAAAGTGACTTTGAGAACGTCTACCCACTTACTAAGGAAAAATGTTATAAAGCACTTTGGAGAATACGCATTATCATTCACAGTTGATGGTTAGGAATAAGATTTACGGTTTCTCATCACGAAGTGACATCAACTAAAATGCCATGACTCTATTTGGTCAAATGAGTGAGTAAATTTTGCGTCAAAATCCAAGACCTGTTATCCTAAATCACATTGGTTTGTCTATAAATTATAGTCTCGCCGCGTAAACTACTTATATATGAACACCACGGGTTTACCGAATAAAATGGATGAACCGTGTGAACCCATTAATGCTAATAATACACATCCGATAGGAATGTCTGAAACATGGATATCTTCTCAAACTGCGACCAGGAACTAGCAATGCCCGGGATATTTTTGTTTCGCAAAGACAGGAAGACAAAGCCCTGTACCTGCGATCTTGCTTGGTAGTACATCAAGTGCAGATCCAAGAGCTTATAGATCTTGGTGAATCTGTATGGTGCTAAGCAAGATTGTCTAGCACATCGTGGTGTCTCCTTGGAGTCATCTACAGGAAGCCCACTGATGTCATCGAGTTTGACAACCGTATGTTGGAAGGATTGTTCCAACCTACTCGTCTCGGATACACTCATATCCTGATTCTTGGAGACTTTGGTCTTCCTAAAGTCAACTTTTCTGAACATATGTACATTGGAGATGACAACTCTGCTGACGTTCGGCTCCTTAACCTCATTGAAGATCTGCAATCATTAGAAAATGTCAAGTCAAAAACTCGTCGGAAAGCAATCTGACGCCGTCGAGCTTTGACAAAAAATTCCTAAAAACTTCATGCAATTAGTTCCCTTTATGAATTAAAAAAAGTTAAAACGAAATGGATACAGAATAGTATAAATTCATCATATTTCGTAGTTTCTTATCAGCCGCTTACAACCAAATATGTGTCATGCTATTACATTTTGATAAGATATAGTGTGAAAATCTACATAAGTGAGTCGAAAGAATTGAAATGACAAAGATTCTCAGTAATAACTATATACTTCTGTACAAGAACAGGTTGGACGTCGTTTGGTGTTAGAATAAAAAGACATGAGGGGTGGATGATGTAACAACTGGGTGATGTTCAGAGACAGATAAGATAAATTGTGTGATAATTATAGAGGTAATAAAGGGTACATTACCAGAAAATTGGGGTCTGGATCACATCACACAAATTTTAAAGAAGATCGACGCAAAGAACCTTCAAACTACAAGCCGATAGCACTTCTCTCAATACCTTCAGGAATTATGGAGTCCGTGATATGCGTCAGTCTTCCCAACTACTTACTATCCATTAATTTCGTTTCATCCCAACAGCACGGTTTTAGAAAGTTCCACTCTTGTAAGGTCAACCTACCGACTGCGGTAAGCAGGTGGACAACCATCCTTGATCACAAGGGGAAGGTCGACATCATATATTTCAACTTCTCAAAAGCTTTTGATAGGGTCAATCATATATGTCTTATAAATAAGCTCAAACGATTGGGTACTAAATCACCTTCAATCGATTGGCTCACTTCATATCTAAAAACTCGACAGGTTAAAGTCAGGGTTAACTTTACTTTCCTTCGGGCTATACGATGTCCTACGAGGATCCTCCAGGGTCCAGTAGTGGGACGTATTTCTTTCTTGATTCATGTAGACAATCCTCTAAAGCAGATATAATCAGATTTGTTACTTTTCACTGGTGATGTGAGGATCTGACTCAACTTCATACCTGGGCAGACAAAAGCAGACTTACATTTAACACTTCAAAATGTAAAGTAGTCCACAGATATGAATACAGCCTAGGCAACTCCGCTCTAGAGGAGTCTCATGTAGGAAAAAATCTAGGAGTGTTGGTACCCTATGAATTTAAGTCTGACTGAGACAAAAATGCCTTCCGAGCAAACATTGCACTGGTAACGTTCAGGCGCAACGTCGGTCAGTTTGATGGAAGAACTGTCCCCATATTCTTCAACGGTTTCATTCGTCCTCATATAGAGTACGGAAGCATAGCGTTTCCCCCCTCACCCCAAAAGGACAAGGACACTCTGGGACGTATCCAACAGCGAGCCACGAAATTGGTTCAGGAACCCAAATTAAAGTCTGATGATGAGTGTCTCTAATCACCTAACGTTTACCCATTAGAGTGAAGGTGTCTCTGAGGTGACCTTCTGATGACTTAAAACATCCTAAATACTTCTGGGTATCCCCTTAAACACCTACTTAAGTTTATTCCCAACACCTATAAACTGGAGACACAACACAGCAGAACGGACTGTAGGCATAAATTGCTCTCCTTAAGAGTAGTCAAATGTTAGAGTTCGCTTCTGGCTGAGCTAGTCCAGACAACTTCCCAGGACTCCTTTAGGAGAAAACTTGACCTATTCTAAAGGACTAAGCAGAGTATCTCAATATAATTTACTAATTATTATTTTTCTTATTTACCGTTAATATACCTAGATTCCTGCCTGGAGGTATCGGCGAGCCACTGCTACTGGATACGGAAGCCCGTTAAGCGAAAACTTCTATTCCGTTCAGAACCATTTGCCATTTGAAGACATCTGAGGTGGGCGTTTCGAATTTTCAGGATGGAGTCCTCTCCAGTTTGGGCACCATTTTTGGGTTTAATTGGATGTAGTTCGGCGATGATATTATGTGGTAAAGTATTTTTCCATTTAATAGTTAATGTCTTTAGCACTTGGTGCTGGTTATGGCACTGCCATTTCCGGTATGAGCATTTCATGCATTGCAGTATCCCGTCCTGATATCGTCATGAAGACCATAATACCAGTTGTAATGGCAGGAATAATTGCAATATATGGTCTTGTCGTCTCTGTACTAATTGCTCAGAGAATTGACGACAGTTACACCTTATTCATGTAAGTTTTTATCATCTCCAGTGATACATTCAGGTCAATTAATGATCTTGGTGCTGGTTTAAGCGTGGGATTCAGTGGACTGGCTGCTGGCTACGCGATTGGGAAAGTTGGTGACGCCGGTGTGCGAGCAACCTCCAAGCAACCAAGAATGTTTGTTGGAATGGTGCTTATTTTAATCTTTGCGGAGGTACTTGGACTCTATGGACTGATAGTTGCTCTTATCATGTCGACAAAGTGATCTGACTTAAATAACTCCTTACACACTATCAATTCGCATAATAATTATTCCTATATGTTATCTTTTCAAGATTTTGTGATTGGTACATTGTCTCTTTGATATTGATAAATTTAGTTCTTTTACAAAAGTCAAAGAATTCTTCCAATGACTAGTCACATTGCTCTTTATACTAATTACCACCATCTAAGATTCTTTGGTAAAGGAATCAACTAGTTCGGCATTCCGATGGTTTTATGTAATATCCACTCCCATTCCTTCCTTATTTTTAAATTATGACCTTGTTTTAGGAATGTCATGAGTTAGAAGTCAAAAAAAGAAACAAGTTGCGCGTGACAAAAAAGCTGAGCTGAGTAAATATGAGGGTTTAACAAAACGCATGGTTAGTTAAGCCTAAGCAACCTAGCCAGTTTCACTCAGCGGGATCAAACATTTTAGTTTGATTATAAATGAACAGCTTCCTCCTAAGACTAAACCCAACGTGTTGTTGTAAACCCCTAATAAGAATTTAAAGTCAGTGGCTGCATTCAAAAGGGAGACACCACTGTCTCAGTATTTTCCTGGTTGGCGATATCTAGGCACATAAGACCGATCCGGAATATTATAAAAGATATGTGTTATGACATTTCGAGCATAGAGATTACCACGATACTTCTAAGCTTAAACGTATTTTGGAGCAACTAGACAAGGTGTTGAAACCTCAAAGTGGTTAATTAGAAGCGACACATCAGTAGTTATAGTAGGACTAATTAATTCAATATTCACTTTACAATCATAAAACATCAAATTATTAGATTATTATTTAATGTTTCGGTCTACTTGTTTAATTGGAGATGAGTTTGGTTGCCTCAACTTGGCTAATTAACTTTAGAAACTACTAGTGTATCTTGTAAATGATATACTGACCTCTCATAGTAGATTTCCTAATTAAAAGTTTTGATTGATTGGATTGTCTTGATAAAATTAAAGGTAATAATGATGAATAGGATTAAATTCAATTAGTTGCCATCTCCAAGTTATTGTATTCAGACGTGGTCTACAGAAAACGTAATCAGTTTCCTGTGGGCTACTGTAATGAGTGGTTATTTTTCTCTGGATTCCGAATGATCAAAGTTACTATGAAATAAATTTGGGTGTTTTTTTCCAAATCCATACCTCTTCTGTTGTGATGAGTTGACACTAGTTGTACAGTTTTAGGATATCTTCGTAGCACATAAGCTTTTACATTTGAAAAACCTTTTGTCGGGAATCGCTTGACGATAAGGGGTGTTGGGAGGTCGTAAAAAACTGTAGTTGATGATTTGAAGTACAAATGAAAGGAGTTTCCCTCTGTTAAATAAACAAATATATTTTTACATGGTCGCTGTTAAAATATTGTGTACACGGTAATATTTGTGCTAAAATCTGATCTATAGCTTCTTCCATTTAATAATCTCCATTGTGTGTAGACGACGAGTAAAGTTACTCCAAACTATGTAGGGTCACTAGTTAACCCAATAAGCTTAAGCTGGTTATCGGTAAGGTGTACTCGAAATATATTATGCGCCTTAACACTGTGTTGTGTGTTTAGTTGATTTTTCTCAAACAAGTGACCATAGGGATCTTATTAACAACAAAAAATAAGATAGTCCTGGCAGATTTGAACTAAACTGTGTTTGGGTCAAAAAATTTAGGTACAGTGTGAACGTTTTAGTACCTAGGATCTGCGTTCTGATCTATCTAGAATATTGGTAAACTGGATCACAATATTGATATTTGCATCACGACTGGAGTCCATCACCTATAGATTCTAGCTTCGACACGCAATTCACTAAAGTTACGTATTCCGAATATCCACTAACTTTCTCATGGGGTATAAAGGTATATTCATGTTCGTACAACTGTAGTAAGAGTTGATGTATGCATAAACTAAATATGTAATATAAGCATCAGCGTTCGCTTATCCACTGAGCTCAATTATTTGTACATTATAATTATCTAGCTGTTTGGACAGATTATTATGTGAATAGTGTTTTCAAGAATGTGATAATTATATTAAGTCAACTGTTTGGTAGAGCTTTTTATGGGCGATGATGGTTAGTGTAGGAGTAGGTTGAAAGGGAACTACGGGCGTGTAAACCAAGACGTCACCGGTGCATGAGGACACTGACTAGTAGGCTAACACATGTAGGTAAGTGAGGACTACCTAGCTGGGGTCTGCGTGATTGCCTTAACCAGTGGTTAGATACTCTAGATGGAACGGCTGAAAAACGTTCGCAATGTCGCAAGTGCATCCACTTTCTATCCTCCCTTGGATCCCAAGTTTCTAAATCCCACATTTTATCTCACTAATTCATTATTTTATTATATCTTCGATGCCTAATCTTTTCTGTTACCAGTAGTACGGTTACTAACCCTGATACTGGGATTCTCTCTGACTATTTCATCTCGCTGTGCTGATGGGGTATGGCAATTCGGACCGATGTGGACACTAGCCAGATCCTACGTCGCGTTTGGCCGACTTATAATTCACTAAAGAACAGTTAGGTATGAATTGAGTACTTAGTATTGCTTGTTATTTTATCCTTTATTTTTTTATCTTACTACACTTAGCTTTACGTATTTAATGTTGTAAGTCACCTTCGTCACGTAAGCTAGTCTAACCTTTGTTGGGATTCACCTTCTACTGAAATTGTAAACAGTATGTGAAAAACTAATCTTCATTTTTAGTTATTGCACATGCTTAGAAACTTGATAAGGTTGTTTACATCGTTCTCAAACAAATTCCTTATTTGTTGCTTTTTTTTCGAATGTTCTTGATTGTCTGATACATCACTGATATATTTTTTTGATTGATGGATTTTCTTCCGATATTGATCATATCAAAAATGACGTTGAACAGAAGTAATCACAGGCTAATGATTCTTTAAATGTTTCCCTACAACATTTCTTCTTGATAATAAGTCTTAGTGGCCTTTAATTTTTTTTTGTACGTTGATTTTTCCCATGAAATATGTAACAAGACTTTCTTACTTTTGTTGTGATACTTTCATCTGTTACCACTATTAATCACGCAACTATTTACACAAGTATCATTACCATCATCTTCCATATGTTATATATGATGTAAGAGTGACCCAATCACTAACAGGGAAATATAGTAAATCGGTGAGACCAGTCAAAGACAAAGGGGGCAAGCCAATTACTGAGATTCAAGAACAGTGGAACAGGTGGGTAGAACAATTTGATGAACTCTTGAATAGACCAGCCTCACTGAACCCACCGGAAATCGATGCAGCATGTACAGAGCTTCCTATATATTTCATTTCACCAACGATCAAACAAAACATGGTTATCGGAAAAACCAAGAGTGGGGAAGCTGCAGGACCAGACAATATGGCAGCCGAAGCACTGAAATCAGAAATGGAAGTAAATAAACATGCTCCACGTTCTATTCAGGAAGATATGGGAGGAAGAACAAGTGCCAACAGACTAGAAGGAGGCGTACCTCAACAAGATACCAAAGAAAGGAGATCTGAGCAAGTGTGAGAATTACAGAGACATCACACTAATATCAGTATCAGGAAAAGTTTTCAACGAAGTGTTGTTAAACTGGATGAAATATTCGGTGGAGGTCCAGCTTTGAGATTAACAGTCCGGATTCCGTAAGGATCGGTCGTGCACAAACCAAATCGTGACACTACGGATCATCGTTGAACAAACAATTGAATGGAACTTGTCACTATACATCAACTTCCTTGACTATGAGAAGGCGTTTGACAGTATGAATAAGAGAACATTATGGAACCTTCTTCGACATTGTGGTGTATGCGCGAAAATCGTCAACATCATCCGGAGTTAATAGGACGGGCTACACTGCGGAGTTGTTCATGGAAGACAGCTGATAGGATCTGTCCAAGTGGGGATCGGGGTCATACAAGTCTGCTTACTCTCCCTCTCCCTCTTTCTCATTCTTCTGGTAGTTGACTGGATTATGAAGACCACGACATCTGAAGGAAAACTCGGAATACAATGGACAGGTTGTATGCAACTAAATGATTTCTACTTGTGAGATGACCTAGCTCTTCCTTCCTATACACACAAACAAATTCAGGTCAAGAGGACCAGTGTAGCAGCAGCCTCTGCATCAGTAGGCCTTAACATACACATGGGGTGAAGCACGGTCCTCAAATACAACACAGAGATCATTAACGCAATCACACTTGATGGTGAAACTCGGGTAGAGGTGGAAACTTTCACGTACCTGGACAGCATCATCGATGAATGTGGAGGATCTGATTCAGATGTAAATGCGAGAATTAGAAGTGCAAGGGGTAACAGGCGTAAGTGACCCAATCAGAACTGACATGATAACTGATATTTGCACGAATTTAGGAAGTAAATGACTTTTATCCTTTATCACGTGAAATGGTCAACAGAAATACTTTTGTATGGTATTTTAGACAAAATACGCTTTTTAAATAATGCAGTATAGCAACTCACGTGCAATTGAGTTTGTTCTCATTTAACTCGGTTAAGCCCTTTTGTTAACTTATTTAGCGTACTTATTTATCCGTACTATAACAACTTATTGTACCTTTATTATTGTTGTGCTTGTATGAAATATGTATGCTTGAACATTGCTTACCGCATACGCATATATTCATTCTGCTAGCTTTATTATTTGCTGCTTAATTGATTCGATGATCCATTCATTCCCCTATATATATATATGTACATTTACACTCTACACTCTCGGTTCGCCTACTCGTTCATTTGCCTCTCTGATTTTCGGTGTGAGTTATCGGCTAATAAAACTGTAGTCGCTGATTCTCTTTGCCTTCTGATTTTAAACACCATTGAGGATTATATGGTAACAGTTATGAGGGTGATTGGTCGACGAATCACAGCTACAACAGGAGTGAAAAAGGCTTAATTCTTTTTATGTAGATATAAAATGACGTGCTGACCAGATATCTTGACCCTGAACCTTATCCAAAACTATATAGGTACTCCCGAAAACCTACTTGAGTTCTTACGCGGGTTCAGAAAGACAAATTTCCTTAGCCATAAGAAAACTTTTTCCATTTTGTCAGTTTTGAGATAGAAAAACTTGTAGTTCCACAGATTGTGTAAAATCTTTAATATTATCGTTTACACCCAGGAGTTATTCATTTGTAATAACTTTCCTGATTGATTGACAACGGGCTTACATCCACAGTTAGTTTGAAAATAGTTGAAGTTCGCATCTACACCGTGCTCTTAGCTTAGATAATTTATCTTCGTTTAAATGTTCTCAAATTATTTGTCTCGAATTACGATGATTATTAATCATGTAACAAAGTTACCTATATGAGTATTAGACTGCC